AAGAAGAAGAAGAATTTTTTTTTTCTAATTATTCTATGTTAAAATTGTAAACTTACTATTTACCCTTATTACATTTGGTCAATTTTTACTATTCCGGTCAATTAACGTCATCCATTTGGACTCCATCTGCTATATTTTGAAAGGTTTGGTATCGTGGGTGAAATAAATGAAAGGTTTGGACAAAATTTACTGCTAAATGAAAGATTTAGTACCGTAGCTGCAATTTTCCATAAATATTATTCAAATATCATGTCGTGAGAGTGGAATATGTTGGAATATTCTCCAGCCATTCTCTTCAGTTCACTCCAGCCATTCTCTCCAGTTCACCAGACGTTCCCAGCAAACCAGTTCAACAACAGCTCCTTCTAGTTCCTTCTTATGTTTGTTATCTTGTTAATTTGTTAAATAATTTGTTAGCTATTTTCTTAAATTGCATTGTAATTTCCTCTAAGTTTTGAATGAATGAATTGTTCATCATTTTCCCTGCATCCAGCAGGCCTATTCCTTTTATTTCTCTGTCAATTTTCGTTCCTTTAATTTCAGTTTCAAATTCATTTCCTTCCTTGATTTTATCATAATATTCCTTTTATTTAAATTAATATCAAAATTTTAAACAAAGTTCGTACCTTTGAATATTCTTGAAAAGAATATACTTTATTTTTTGGTATACGGAGAAAACAAAAATAATTCTCACTAGTTAGTAGTTACTAAGAAACCGACTCTTACATTTTGGTGGATTATTTAGAAAAATAATATTTTTTTTACTTGCATCTCTCTAATATTGACAAGAGGATCTGCACAACTATGTTCTTGTCTTAGAGTTTGAATGATAAAGATTTTTTGAGAAGATTCTTTGAAAAATATTTATTCGGCGGTAAAAAAAGTATAGTAAAATTATGGAAAAACGTGAGAAATGATTTTTTTTTTTCGAGAATGTGATTGAAATGAATGTGGCAGAGAAACGATTCTCAATAAATAAAAAATGAACAAGAGTTTAATGCATTCAATACCATGACATCTAGTCCTAAAAACATGTTTGATTTTAACTTAGATTAAAATCTGATTTTTTATCCGAAACAAATTGGGCATAAATATAGAAAGACCAAAACCAAGTCAATTCCAACCCACATTCTTTTCTCCCCTCAGCAATTTATATGCAATCCATTTTCTCCAACCATCCAAAATCTTTTCAGTTCAACATGTTGTTGGAAACAAAACTAGTTTCCAATGGAATCAAATACTCGACTCTTCCAACGGGTTATGTCCGGCCGGCGCCGGAGCGGCCAAAACTGTCGGGGGTTACCGATTGTGAAAAAGTTCCGGTGATTGATT